ACTAGTTTTCCAATCAGGGATGCCCATTGTTCCCTGGTCTAACTCCTCTGAGCTGCAGAACAGTTGCACAAACCCAACAATCAAAGGTCTAATTTTAAGCTAAATAAAACAAACCTATAAATAATTTCAGTACTCCGTGCATTTTTAATTCGATTATTTAGTACTCTATATTTCAAATTAAAATCCCTAAAATCAAATTTAAGAATCCCAAGTAAACAAAAACTAACCTAATTAATTGGATATCCTGGTGAGCACTACTCAGATGTTTCATTACAATCCCCATGTTTTTCTTAATAAACAGTCATTTACACAACACCACTTGGATAGTAGAAGTAAACAAAAAATAGGCCTCATATTAGAAAGCGTATATGAAGTAAAAATAGGTGTGTGGATGGCACATCCCTAATTTTTACTGATGTTTTAGTCCATTGATTTTTACTCTCTATTTTATTTTATGGGAAACAAGTGTTTTTAGTGTTCATTATACCGCAAATGCTCATGCCATGTTAGCAAATAATGGTTACAAGTTTAGGGAGGGGTGATATTTTCTTTATCAAAATCACAGGAAGTGACGAAGTTTAAATATCGGTTTTTACAAAGACTATTGAAAGGACAGATCAATTTATTTATGCTTGCAGCAAATGATGTATCTTGCTGGTCTGCCTTTAAGGATGTCTCTGGATGAACTCTTCAATAGGTTTTTGAAGTTATTTAGTTGATCGGTATTTGGTAGTTTCAAAATTGGTGAGATATAGTATTAGAATTGGGGACTTGAAAAATCAAAATCATTGAGTAATCATGAAGCTTTCAAGTGTAGTAGCATATAATAGGAGTCCCTCCAAGTCTCCGAGCAAGAAGGGTTACCGAAAGAGGTGTCTTAATCTTTCTGAGTCGTCGAGGAATCATTTTTAAAGCTACAAGCCTTTTTTTAAGGCTTGTGGTTGAAGCTTTTTTCTTTACATTTATAGCTTGAGTGACAAAATGTGGGAGAAATTACATAAATAGATCTTGCATCCCAGTCTTGAGCATCAGTGCTTCAGGCTTTGTTGAGTTTAATAATTGGTGAAGGTGTGCAAAGCCTTGAGACATTCGTAGTGTTTGAAGCTTTCAACCTTAATGAATGGATGAAGCTTCAAGCCTTTATAGGTGTATGAAGCTTCCATCCTTAATAAATGTGTGAATCTTCAAGCCTTTATAAGTGTGTGAAGTGTCCTTAATAAATGTGTGAAGCTTCAAGCCTTTATAGGTGTGTTGTAGGACCATAATTTTCCAAAACCAGGGTAAGGTGGATTGGAATACTAGTACCTCAAAAGTTCGGTCACAAACTCAACAACTCCCGTAGTGAAGCTACACATATGGAGCAATGATGCCACCATCATCCTATTCCGGAGCAATGACGAAGTCTGGCAACTTCCTTGAGATTGATCATGCTTGTTCCGCTAATCTAGTAAAGAATCAACCATGTTTCCTATATTCTTGGAATCCTTACAATCTAAGGATTAGGATTTGTGTTCGTCGCAAGTAATAATACTTCTAAGAGAATGTAATATCTACTCCTAGATAATACGGATTCCATTTCTTAAATGGTCTTTATCTCGATTGGTATAAATACACCCTTCTAGGGTTCATCTCTGAATACACAATTATTGCGCCCTTATTCTTTTGCCTATTGCTCATGTCTCATATATTTTCTTACTAACTTGACCGTCGAAGAGCCTTTGGCTAGCATCCTACCAGTCCTTGGCTACTGATTGTTGTTTGTTGTTTTACAGGTTATTCAAGTTTGTGCATCTCCACCCTTTACGGTGGTGAGCAAATTTGGTTTTAACAATTGGTGCTTTCATTGAGAGTGAACTCATATTCCTCCAAACCAAATCACTATACCAAAAGCATGTATGCAAAAGAAAGCTCTATTAACGCTAACGTTAACATGGTGACTGGAGACAATCCAATCCTCGGCCCCTTCATCACTCCCTCCAGAATATCCAGTTCCCAACATCTTCGCTACTCCTGGTACGAGTAACCAAATCCTTAAAGCTACAAGCATCCTGGGAAATGACAAAGGTTCCGCAACTAGTCCTCCATCCACGATGGAACATATTTAGCAGACTTTGATAAAGATCAACACCTCTATTGGTAAGTTACAAAGAACCTTACAACTTTTCAGGTAGAGAACCATGGAAAAAGGGATCCGCGAAAGAGAACGATCAAGGTAAGTTCGACCGATATGCGGAAGACCGGTGTCCAGCGAAGAAGCCTACCCTCAACATCAACTGCATCTATGGGGGACACAAGATGCCTAAAGGAAGGAAAGTTGGCAATCCCAAAACAAGGAAGGGAACTTCGATAACCTTAAGGTGGAACGTCCTCAAGCATCGTTGACCGTGCTAAAAAAAAATTCATTTCTTCCCAACTACACATGGTTTGATTCTTTAATGACATGAAAAGATATGTAGGCCATCTGTTTCCAATTCAACCACGATTAATTTTAACACCGCTATCTACATGTAGACACGTTAATGGATAGCTCATCTCTTTAACGCCCCACAACAGGCTATTCATTAAAGATGATCCTCGATGTAGACTTACGTTGTATCATCTTTTAACTAGAACTACACTAATGATTTGATTCTCCTTTTCGAAAATATTAAGTAGTCATATCCAGATTCAATCACACCCCCTTATCAAATCATCATTCTTTTATGAATAAGAATTTAAGTTTGACAGTGTTGCAAATTTTGTCTGTTTGTTCGTTCTTTTTTCTTTTTTGTGCGGTAGGAGATACCCTAAAATCTTAAATGACACATAGCTTTGCAACTTTGCATAATTGCAAGTCTAAAAATTTAAAGTGACTATGTCAGGGGAGTCTCATTTAGCCCATTATGTAGTGTTCGGTTAGCAACTTAGGATGCTCAAGCCGTATTAAGCGCAGTTACAGCAGCACGGCTACGAGGACATATCCCCATCATCCGAAAGTTCAACACACCATCTGGCCAACGGAAAGTTAATTACAACCTAAGGGTTGTGGGTTATAACATTCAAACATGGGCTCTACAGCGTTTGAGGGAGTAATTGAAAGGGCAATTTGGAAATCGTCAAAAGGGATGGCTCTAAACTCTGACACTAAGTATGATTACTTCCATCCTTGACCAGCGTACTAAGTCAAGTATGTTATGCTGCACCTGTGTCTAATGCAAGTACGAAGTCCTTAAGAAGAATTTTATTCCAATGGAGCTCCGATACAGGAAAATGCCTTAGCCAAGTCAGCTAAGAGTAGTAATTGGAAGCGCTAAGGTCCAATGCATAAGTTTTGACAAAAGGATTCCAAAGGTGTTTCCGACCCACATGCAGGTGACAAAAGTAGTTTAATTGGAAGCGCTCAACTAAGAGTAGTTCTGTTTTTTACTTACGCATCAGAGGGCCTTTAGCGGACACTCCCTTCCTTTTTCTCAAGGGTGTTTGTCAATTAGGCTAATGATATTATTGTTTTGCAGGTGCGATTTTCCTCATTTTATCTTGGGACGAAATCTGCATCCACATATTGCATGTGAATTGACTCTTTAATAGAGATAGAACCCATCGATATAAGTAGGTCTCACCTTTATTAGAGAGGTGTGATCTCCCTAGCTTTTGCTTCTTCTTGTAAATATTTATTACCATTGCTTGTAAAACACAAAATAATAGAGTTTTGAAAATTGGGTGAAATGTAAAGTTAGCAACATGTCAATTTGCCTCATGAGCCATCAAATTGAAATATGACATCTATATTTGGCTTCCCTTAAATCATCTCTAATGAAGAGATGTAAATTTGAGATGTAAAAACTATATTTACATCTTCAAGAGATGTAAATATACAATCTAGTCCAATGAGAGAAATGTAAATTTGCAATCTCATTTTTAATGTAAATAATCTTTTGTTGAAGATGAATAATTTACATTCCACTATAAATGAGTTTTCCTCCAAAAAAATCTAAAATGTCTGCTTCAAGGCATTTTGCATTTTCAGCATCTCCAATTGGAGATGAGTATATAAGGTAATTTAACTATTGTGCTTTTTTTAGAGCTATTATATTGGCAATCAAAAAAAGGTAATTTACCAAAAAAGGTGGAAATAAAGTTGAAGGATGGGGCTCTAATAGGGGTGGACGCAGATCGTTTTGATTCAATTTGACACAAAAAAAAAATATATATATATATATATATATATATATATATATATATATATATATAACAAGACCAGCTAGTATTTAATGGTTCGATTTGGTTTGACTTTTTCCAATTCCACCATTAAAAATTAATCAAACCAAATCATTGTTAATCAGTTTGATTCGGTTGGTTTAAGCTTATTCAACACAAAACAAATTAAAAAATGTTCAATATTTCAAGAGTTTTAATCTTCCAAACATCCACACATCTCATGCATTCCAATTCGATTGAAAGTTTTTCGTAACATAAAAAGTTCATCAAGTTAGATAGAACTAAGTTTCAATTAAATAAAATTTCATGCTAGCAAACGATTTATTATAACCTCACATAAACATAAAATACATATAAATCTCTTAATTGTTAATAATCATTACAACTTATAATGTGTATGGTAGGGCCGCTAAATAACCTAAAATAAATTTACATGTATAAAATAAATAAATTAATAATTAAAAGATACGTGATTGGTTCAGATTGATTTTGGTCGGTTCTAAAAATATCAAACCCAAACCAAACCAAAAGTAAATAAGTTTGGTTGGATGTTTAGGTTGTTTGATTTTTTTTCTTGGTCACAAATTGATCGATATGATTCGGGTTGATTGATTTGATCGGTCTGGTCATTTTGATGCCCACCCCCAAGCTCTAACATGTAGTATAGCATTGTCTCAATCCAAAGTATATAGAATGCTGCTAGTACTAAGACGTTTTATTTATAAATAAAGAAGAATACTAGTATTACTAAATGGTTGGCTTGTATATTATTATGCACATCACCCGCATATGATTGATTTAATCGAATATCGAGAATTCCAAAACTGGAAGGCTATTTACTAATTAGTCTTTCACAGAGAGAGAGAGAGAGACCGTCGGGTGGCGCTTCGGGGAGAACAAAACCTGCCGGCGAGTCCTAACCAAAAGGCACCATTGAAAAACCCCAAAGAACCCAAATTTTTTTATCAAAATTTGAAATTCTTGGAGCAATTACTCCAAAACCCATCAATGTCTCTACAATTCCAAAGCTCTTGCTTGTATATATGAATGTATATATACAGTATATATATATATATGTGTGTGTATTGTAGCAGCTTCAAAGGCCAACAGTTGATAGAGATCTCCATTCTTTTTCAGGTGAGGTCCCATTTATACCTTTATCTCTCTGCGTCTTTATCTGTCAGTTTGAAGCTCAAATGTTTGGTGCTCTGTTCCAATCTTTGAAATTTGTGATCTGAGTTTTCTTCATCCAAATCAAATCCTCCAATCGGGAGGCAGAAGATCACAGTTCTTGCTTCTGATTAATTCATGATATACCACTTCAGAAAAGATGATTGCATTTGACTCCACCTTGTTTCATTGATTAATTTGCTATATTTTTCTTTCTTTCTTGAAAATGTTGTTCTCTTTGTTCAGGAATTAATTAATTAATCTACTTTGTAAAGAGGCACTCTGTTCACTTCGCTGTCGCAAATTCGGAATTTCTTTCCACAATTTTGATCATTAACTTTGTCGAATATGTTTAAAATCCAGGTTGCTAGAAAACTTGCTTTGTCAATGCTATTCTGATTTGTGTTTTGATTTTCAGTATGGATACATTGGTTAAAAATATGCGTGGTTCTGGAAAGAAATCAAACCTCAAAGAGTCCGGGAAATCTGGTTATTCCAGTTCCGTGGCGAAGCTGATTTCATCACCAAGTTTTAAAAAAGGCGGAAAAGTTCCCCGTGTTAAGAAACTAAAACCAAAGTCGTCCAAGACTATTATCGCGTCAGCCTTGTCAAAGAAGAGAGGTGCCGACTCTTCAAGCAAAGCATCAACGTCAAGGAATAATGATACTAACAAAAAATTGATGAGTAGAAAAGAATTTCATAAAGTGCATGATACAGATTCTTCCAAAAAGCCGTCTTCAGTGAAACTTCAGGACCACAAGTTATCAGACAATGGCTCTGATGAGAAGGGGGAGAAAAGGAGGAGAAAGAAGAAACCGAAAAAGGATAAGGTGGAGTTGGATGAAACTTCTCGCCTGCAGAGGAGGATAAGGTACCTGTTGATTAAAATAAAGCTGGAGCAGAACCTTATTGATGCTTATGCCGGTGAAGGTTGGAAGGGTCAGAGGTATGTAAGATTATCTTAAAATCTTTTCGGTTCCCAATTTCTGCTTTATATATCACACATTTCTGTTCAATGATTTAGTATGTAAGCTAGACATAGGTAAAGAGTAATGAAATTTCGTAGACTTGGTTTGAAAGCAATGGTATTTATGTTAAAATAGAATCTTAATAAAGAGGAGAGGAGACTGGATAGTCGTAGAAGCTAATGTTTTGATATTATTCGTTGAATTTACGTTTTCAATCGTTTTAATAGCAGGAAGCTCAATTGGTAGATTTGATGTACTCAAATTAACTGAAAACATTTCAGTGTCTGATTTGAATAAAATTTCAATTGTTTTTATTAATATCAAGTGATGATTATCAATTAAGCTTAGAATGTGCATTGTTTTCTTGACCTCCTTTCTATAGCAAATGGCTCTGCGGTTTAGTTATTTTAATTTCTTACTTATATCACAGTCGAGAAAAGATTAGGCCAGAATTGGAACTGCAGAGAGCCAATAAGCAGATTTTAAATTGCAAGCTTGGAATCCGCGATGCCATTCAACAACTGGATTCTCTGAGCTCAGTAGGAAGCATCGCAGATTCTTTTATTGCTCCAGATGGATCTGTTTCTCATGAACATGTAAGTACATGAGATTACTATTTTTTTGTATGCCGAAAGGGGCTGTTTGGAATCCCCAGTTGTGATCTTGGCTAAGGTCTGGATTCTCTTGACAGCTCCCAAGCGTAGGCCCACTAATACCTCTTTATCTTGGCTGTATGCTTATTGATGTTCCATTTTTTTTGTTACTATTAGATATTCTGTGCGAAGTGCAAGTTGAACGAAGCTTTCCCTGATAATGATATTATACTGTGTGATGGGACATGCAATTGTGCATTCCACCAAAAATGTCTTGATCCTCCCTTGGATACTGAAAATAGTAAGTTTCTCACCTCTTTGGAATTTTCTTTGGACCCTTTGGTGACTTACCAACCATATTTTCTTCGGAAAAGCTACCTCTAAGTTCAATTGTTAATCTACAGTTCCTCGAGGAGAGCAGGGTTGGTTTTGCAAATTTTGCGATTGTAAAATGGAAATACTAGAATTAGTCAATGCTCACCTTGGGACTTGCTTTCCGATGAACAGTGGTTGGCAGGTTAGAAACTGCCTAACTCTTTGAGAAATGTCAAATTTTCACCCCCAATTACTTTTGGTTTTGCTGCTTTAATAATTCTTGTAACTAATGGCTCTCTATGTAATACAGGATGTCTTCAAGGAAGAAGCCACTTTCCCCGTTGGTGAGAATTCCTTATTAAATCCAGATGAAGAATGGCCTTCGGATGATTCTGAAGATGATGATTATAAACCAGAGAGGAATGTGAACAGCTGCAGCATCAGCAGGGGAGGCAGCGATGACAATGTATCAGAAGAGGAATTGTCAACTGATGTCAGTGTAGGTTCTGATGAATCTACTGATGGGGAAATTGTTTCTGGCCGCAGACAGAGAAGAAGTGTTGATTATAAGAAGTTATATGATGTGAGTATACCAGCCCAAATTTTTCCTTTTTTTTTTTTTTTTTTTTTACTTGTTTTTGGTAAATTTTGAATATTAGTATGACCTTTAATTCCTTAATTCCTTTAAATCTTTACTTTTATTCCACTTTTGGGTCTGGCACAAGGATAGTTATTAATTTTGAGATAATGATATTACATGGAAATTGCTTGTTGCCAGTCTTTATATGTTTGATTGTGGATGTTTTGGCAATAAAATGTGGCTAGATATAATCAACTTATGAAATGCTCGTATCGTACTTAAATCTATATATATATATATATTAATTCCTACGGGTTTTATTGTAAAATTAATATCTTGTGGATAATAATGGGGTATAGTATTTGCTGTATAACAATGGTTCTTTGAGGTGATGATCCGATATTCACTGTGTTGTGCATATTTGTTTTTTCCTACAAGGAAATGTTTGGAAAAGATGGTCCTTTGCTCGAACAAATCAGTGATGATGAAGACTGGGGTCCTGTTAAACGAAAGCGAAGAGAAAAAGAATCTGATGCGGCCAGCACCCTTATGACTCTCTATGAAAGCGAAAGAAATCCAGATATTGACCATACAGAAGTGAAAAATATACGTTCTTCTGATACGCAAGTTAGAAGATCCTGCTTCCGAATTCCTCGAAAGGCAGTAGAGGTATTAGAACTTGCCCTCTCTCTCTCTCTCTCTCTCTCTCTCTCTCTGGTTACATCTGTCTCTCTTCACTTGCACTCATAATGCTTCCGCCAGAGCTATTTTAAATTTGATGGTCATATCTGTATTTCCTAGACTAAAACCTTCTGCTGTAATTTCTTTTTCCAGAAGCTCCGCCAAGTGTTTTCTGAGAATGAACTTCCTTCTAGAGCTGTCAAGGACAATCTTTCAAAAGAGTTGGGCCTTAATCCCGAGAAGGTAATGGTGATTGATTAACTATAGATTGTTTGGGCCTTCTTGAACCATCAACTAGTTTGTTGCTCAGTATGAGTTTATTTTCTTGCCAAATTGGATAACGGAAAATATATTTTGGAAGTTATTGATATTTTTTTCGTCCAGTCAAAAACATTGTCTTTCTGGACTCTACGTTATTGGGATTTTGGTGTGAGAGTCAAGGAATGTTAAAATGCGTAGGCATGGTTTTGTAGTATTTGCGGATATTAGATGGCTACAAGCGTATTACCTTATCCATCGTTTTAATAACTTTAACGTTGCAATTTTCAGGTTAGTAAATGGTTCAAGAACGCACGTTACTTAGCTCTGAAAACCAGAAAGGTGAGCTATTAGTCCATGTATTTTCTTATACGCCTAACTTCTTCAATTCTACCATTGTTTATTTCTTCTTTTCATCTGTTTTAGCCTCTTTGTTAATTCACTACTAAATCAAATGTTTAATGTGGAGTTGGAAATCTTTTCAACAAAGAGTATATTGGTCCGAATTAGTCATGGAGCGTTAGGATCTTAAATCTCAACTCCTGAGATTTTATGTCTCTCAATAAATTACGTTGATGGATCTTTTGTGCAACAGGAAGTGAGTGGTAAAGACCATCAGGCTTTTACTCCTGGAATCTCCAAGGAACCAGGATATGAAAATGTGACTGGAAAAGCTGCGGATCTCATGGCTTCAGATTCAGATGACGATACCTTAGCTGAAACTGTGGTCCATTCCCCAAAGAATGTTAATGCAGCTTTCCGGAGAAAGCATCCAAAATCACTAAGTAGCCCTTTGAGGAAAAGTCAACAGAAAGCCCCTTCGTGTGGGTCACCTTCAAAGAGCAACAAGGTCTTGGCCTGTCATAATAGATAAATAAATTTCTGAATATTTCTGCGCCTTTTTTATTCACAAATCCCAGGGCCATTAGTGTTTTGGTTATTTTAAGGTTTATTATGTTTTGGCTGTCATTGCAGCCATGATTTTGTCAGTAAAATAGTTAAGTAGTTAATTTGCGTCATGATCTTTGCTTGGTTTCTTAATGTATTGGATATACCTGAAGTTATGTAGTCCTTGTCCTTCAGAATAAGGTTTGTGAGTTTCCGGAAATTTGCCATCTCGTGTTTTCTATCCAAAAACCATAATAGAAACCAACTGCACTTACCTGACTTTCCAATTTCACAATCCTCAAATCATATACCCTTTTGCATACATGCAAGCAACCTTCTCATCCAATTATCTCTCAAAACTCTGGTTTTGTGGGAAGAAGAATTCTGGATATCAGATAATTCTTCGGGACCTCGTCTTTGCCTCCTCAAGTAGTTCACATGGTTATATCTTCTTTTAACCTTCTCACAGTTATGACTTGCCTTTGTTTTCACTGTATTGGATTAAAGATTATATACCTGTCTCTGCTTATTTTTCATTGAATTTAAAGTGGCAGGTTAGAGATGTTTACGGTTTTCATATCCTATAATTACTACTTATTACCTCTGCTGAAAATATTAATTGACAACAAAGTTGACTCATGTGTTGGTTTGCTTTCATACAGGATGGAAAAGAGTCGAGTGATGATGTGAGCTTGAAGAAGCTTATGAACACAAGAACAAAGGAGAAGCGGGCGAACCTTATCGCTGGAGGCGGTGGAGATGGATGTCGAGCTGCAGAGCTGGAAATGGAGAGACTATGCAAAGCCAAAGGTAGGCTAGAACATATGAGACAGAAATTACTGAAATTGCAAAATGTGAAAGCAAAGCAGAAATCGAATAAATCTCTCTTGCATGAACACACTGTGATTTATGTTCCAGTAGCACAACTGCAGGAAAAGGTTTGATAATTTGTCATTTTTCTGAATGAAATATAGCATTTTTTTTACCTCAGTCATCCCGTCTTTTCAGAATTTATTTGTTTATCATTTTGCTTCTTGTGCAAGAATACTCTCTCTCTCTCTCTCTCTCTCTCTCTTACATGAATCCTGAAGCATGGAGAAGAGTACGCAATAGTGATTGCATGTTTTGATTCACACTGCTATACAACTGGAAATTGAAGTTAAGACGATGAACTAGGAGTAGAATGACGCCGCAACTGTGTGCATTCATCATTCATTCTGTGTGAAATTGTCGCAGTCTAGGGGTCGCATTCATCGTTCAGTTGTCCCTCTTTTTAAAAAAAAGCCCAAAAAAAAGAGACTTGGAACAAGTTAAACATGTAATTATATAATTAGAGATCAAATGTGAATGGTCAGTCGGCTAAGGTTATGTCATCACCCCTTGTTTTTAAGTTCGAATCGTTGTTTTTATAGATTAGAATAGTTTGGAATATCATTTTCTTAATAAAAAAAAAAAATATACATTTCTTTTTACTTTCTTGTTGGGGGCAATTAGTTAAACAGTAAAGAAAAAATCCAGTTTTTCATTACTAAATCAAATGACTTGCCTCAGCCTCAGCCTCTTACACACTCATGTTTAATCCTGACCGTTGATTCTGTTTGATTTATTAAATTTGATAACCATAAATAAAGAGGATGTGATAAGCTAAAAATGACATGTGAAAATGACTAGGCGATTCTAACTGGAGCAACTCTTATATCAAGTAGTGGTCTGACAAGTTTTTCTCCCGATCCCACACTAGTCCCGTCGAATGTGAGAGCTACCTTACTCAGACAGTTTCTCCCCACTGGAAGAATCGTTTGCTTTCTTTTCATAACCGTTGGAGCTCCACCCTGAATTTTGGACTACACAAAAGCACCTTCAGTTTCAGAGTTTCTTTTGCAACCTCAAAAAGAACCACTTTAATTTATATCTTGATGCAGCAATGACTTGTCACATTGTGCAAACAACAAACACTGGTAACTTAAAAAGGAAGTTAGGCTTAACACAGAGAGAGAGAGAGAGAGAGAGAGAGAGAGAGAGAGAGAGAGAGAGAGAGAGAGAGAGAGAGGCTCGTGCGCTTGCCTACAAAAACCATAATCCAGTTAACTGTGGTCAAAATTTCTAACTCGATTTGATATATAAGATGTTCAATGACTGACGAGCCAGGTTCTATACACGCTTTTACACCACTTCTCACCATATCATAGAGTTTGTATACTTTTTGTACCTACTATGGGCTTCTTCAATTCACCGGCACTCTTGGTTCCATCCAAAGTATGCTGTTTAGCAGATAACCGCGGCCTCAGCTACACATCATAAGAAATAATAAGAACCCAAAGATAAACCACAAGGATCATACAAGGTAAACCAATATATTATGCTCCTACGACCCATTATGCATATATAAGAATTCAAAATAGTATTTCAAGTAATTGTTTCAACAAAAGCATGCTAATGTGAGACGATGCAACAGCGTATAAGTATTAGATATGCCAGAAACTCACTACAACATAGTTGTTCTGGAAACTCTAGTGTAAACCTATTTTCTTTATCCTTTTTGTTCATTGGGTCCTTTAAAAGTCAGCAATTTCTTTAGTTTAGTAAAGTTATTGTCTGTTAAGACTCTTGTCTCATATCTTCGAGAGGTACTCTTGGTTCCACATACCACTACTTGCTTATCATACTATACAACTAAAATGAACTCTAACATATCCAAAAACTTATTTATTGGAACAATTGCCTGGAAAATACCGTCTCAATATACTTCAGTTGCTTTAGAACTTGATCCGTTTCCAGTTCCTGAGCCAGACACAAAAGAAGAGAGATAACGTTAGATTTAAAGATGGACACCAGACAGACCAGCATATAATGAAGTGAAGAAAGCATATAACAAAGACAAAACCGAAGTGAAGAAAGCAAAATACATTATTTGACATACTAAAACAATAGTGAAGTGCTCGATACCCTATTGACTACATCTCAGTCATGTTTAATCAAAATCCAATGACTGAATGAAATCCCAATAACCCTCAGCAGGTTCGATATGGATGGTTGAGATGCACAATCATTGTGATGCAATCCCAACCATCTGTATCTCTAGCAGTGTAAATTGTGATCCCTTTTTTTGCTACTACTCTAGTTCTAAGAGTTTCATATGATACGATCTAAAAATCCAAACGTTGTCTATAAACAGAGACATGAAGAGTGTCAGTGATAGGTCCACCTGAAGCACATTACAATCAGCATGGCTTGGATCCCAAAGGATAGAGCAGAAGCACTCCCAGTCATTAGTTTGGACTTCAAAAAGAGGAGCCCTGATATACAAGAATCTTCCAAATTGTTAAAATGTCAAGCATAATCAAGAACAAAAGTAGAAAAGCAATTAAGCGATAAAAAAAAGCGATAAAAACAACTTTAGATCATAAGTATTAGGTAATACATCAAGATACCAAAAAACTCATCATGAACTATTTTGTGTAGTTGCATATTTCGAGACAATTGCCATAAAAAAAGAATCCAGCCAGCAGATTTGTGGTGTAACTTTAAACAATTTAGAGCTACCTATATGAATTAAGTTTGGAATTTGTGAGAAAACAAGTTTGGAGTTTGGAATTTGTGATCCAGTGCCATTGTGTCAAGTCTTAGTCAATCACTAAGACCGAAGAAAACCCGACAAAAACCCCCTGAGAGAGAACCCCTCAACAGACAGGAAAGGAGAGAAGGGCATCTTCGATGCGTTCTTCCAGTATCTAAATTCTAAAGAACCACCAGTCTTGGACTAGAGTTCTCTCTCAGATAATTGTACAACTTCAGAGTTCAGACTGACAAGTCACAAACAGCAAACATCCATTCATATTGGTGTTTCATGTTCTCCGTTAAAGTAATTTCACTCAAATATAGTACTATACATATTGTCAGAAAAATTTCCAACTAAATAATCAGATCACGACCTTCACAGGTTCCAATTAAGCGTTAACACAAGCCATAAATTAATTACCTGCGCCATTTTCCACATATAGTTCCATTTGCGCGATCTACAATTTCTCCACATTGAAGCCAATTACCTATAGAGCTATGTCTAGAAGGTTTATTGCAGTTCAGCCCCTACAACGGAAAGATGTGTCATTACTCCATAGAATTTCCAAACTTCCCATGCCAAATGAAAAAGCCGATTACATATACAAATATAGATCAAGGACTTACATGCAATCTAGCATACTCCGACGAATCTAGTTCCAAAGGTTCACCAATGCCACTGATATCACTGTATCAAACCAAAATAACAGAAGTTGTAACTTGTAAGTTGTAAGTAACATGCAAAATGAAAGAAAATAAGGATTCAAACCAGAGTTAGGAAAGGCAGATTATGAAAATTTTCTTTACAAGAACACATGATGAAAAAAGATCCCACACAGGTGCCTATGCAGGACAGCCAGCCAATTGTTTAGGAATACAAGCAGCACAAGCAACGAGATCTGTCCTACCTGGCATGCTAAGTCCTTTGAAAACAAGGATTCATAGCACAAAAACCAAAATGAAACTACTTACCCTACCCTCCTATATAAACCACATAGTGGCTACCTTCATAGTACATCATTTGAAATGTGACTAATCAAAAGGAAGAGAGACAAGGAAACCAAGAGGTTTTCACAAGGATATCCATCCAATTAGTGAAGGCAACATATAAACTTCAACTGCATCAAAAGAGTTAAGAGAGCAAATGACAGAATAAACGTACCCATTTGTTGGGCCAGACCAGTCAGGAACTTCCGCTTGAAACCCTTTACCAACCCGAACACTAGTTGTATACGGCTCAATGTCTCTCAACATTAAGATTATGGGATTCATTTGGCCCTTGGATGATGCTTCCCTACTCATGACACTCGTGATATTGGGCGATGTCACTTTCTCCTGTAAAATCTTATGTTTCTTTTTCAAACAAGAATGACAGAACCATTCATCAATAGGTGGTTTCTTCATACGGGAGTGGCAGCATGACATGTGAAATGCCTCTTCACAATTATCACAAATTAGCATTTTCAAAGTGGTTCCAGAACGACTACAAATTTTGCATGACCGGCGATGGATTTCACTGCTAATGGTGTCAGTGTCTTCAGCAGAACCACCGATCATGGTAACCTGAGAATCCCCAAGCAGTCCATGGCTTCTAAGAATAGAGATGCATAGATCCCTTTCAGACAGGTCTCCCACAGCCTCCATAACTATTGCACTAGAAGAGGAGCACTCAGCTGTTTCATCTACTTCAGTCTTTGCGGAAGTTGAAACATGCTCCATATTTGACTTTGATGATGAGCAACTATCATTCACGCTGCTTACCTCTAAAAGCTTTTGCACGTTATTTTTAGGTGCTTCATTGAAAATTAATTCCTCACCAGCAGAACATCCATTACAAGATTCTGAATTTAAAACATGACCAACTCTCTTGCATAAACGAGGAGCTACAGAATGAGCTCGAGTAGCTTCAGTTTCATGGTGTAATTGAGATACAAGTTCTTCCTTAGCAGCAACTGTAGAAGCTTCAGAATTTAGAAAAGAAAAAAAATCACCACTTATAGTGTTTTCTCGCTCTCCTGGAAACACGGTGACACGGTTTCCTTGTAACTTCCTCCTTTTATAAACGAGATTAGGTGCAGAACTTTCTGACATGGTGACTGCTGAAAGCTGGGAAGAGCTTCTTGGAAAAATCAAGGGGCGGGAATCATCAAAATTCTTGTTTCTCTCAGAGATTGGTTGAGCTCTTCTGCAGCTGCAATGATCATCGCATTTTGTACACATCTGCCAAGTTTCAGCACCAGGCATCCAATCACATAAGACATCGTGAAACCCATGGTTAGATACACAAAATATAGCAGCTTCAATTGAACTAGGAAAGGAACTCAGAATCAACATTTCACCTGAAACCACCTCACTAATATCTGGTGTCCGTTGCTTCCAAGTACCACAGTAACACGCTGATTCACTCTCTAAAATGTTTGAAATATGAGTTTCATATGACAGAAGAGGCATCCCCCAAAGTTTTCTTCTTTCTATCGTATCAACCTCTCTGATTCCAACAAGGAAAAAAATGGATCAAGTTTCAAAAATGGGGATCGTATGTACATTTCCATGGACTTCTCCAAACGAATTCACTTTCATAAGTAAGATAAGTTTTTCAACGCAGACAGGGAAAAATAAAAAGCAGAAAATGAAAGTGAGACTCTTCATCGTCCAAGCAAACAGGTAACACAAACTTTCTTGAGACACACAGCGTGACGAAACCCTCAATGGTACTCCACAAACACATCACCAACAATAGCTACTATCACCAAGCAATTCTAATAAGGTAGGGGGCAACCAAACAGAGAAAAAGTAACTTACAGATTCCACTGTTTGCTTACAAATCTACTGTCAAACCTACTTAAGAAGCTGCCTTAGGTGGGCCAGCATTATAAAATTTCTCTCCAAGGAAAGAAAAAGGATTAAACCCTAATTGATTTCCTTATAGTAAGAAATATCCTCAAACACCCGTTTTTGCGTAAACCCCACCTTCATACTGCATCTCCAAGAGAAGTTTGAACAAAATAAAATAAAATACAACCACCCCATAAATAAGTAAACAAACTTTTTTAAAGGTTCCAAAATAACAAATGCAGAGAATAATCCTTTTAATAACTTTAACTCCATGACAGAATGCGATGACACCAGTAGGAATTCTAGAAATCACACAAACCTAGAGAGAAGCAAAGTTCCATCAATTTTATGCAATCACTAAATCTGTGGAAAGGGTACATAACGTGTGATTGATCAAGACCTAAACCTAATAAAACAGGAAATAACCTAATCCTTAAAGAAATAGGAAATTGAAGACTAATGGGCCTGCTGGAACCATACACCAGCAGAATTTACCCTAGACCCATATGACTAGCATACTTCAGAGTGCTACAATTCTTCTAATGCCATGTGAATCACAAACACAAGAACAAACACATTGGCACTGCTTACAAAACCTCTCTACTTCTGATAGATCCCAGCATCAATATGAGACCCCAAAGAAACAACATATGCAGAACTAGCAGCGTCCCCTTTTGATTAACTAATCATCACAATCCTCTAATGAGCATAATCCAAACTATTGCAATACTTGGAAACCTAACTAAATGAAAATTAAGATTCCTTATACTTAAGGAAGGCTTCTTACGAGCAAACTATTTTCACGATACCAATAAACAAAACGTTCTTCCACATATAGCATCTATTAAATAGTACCCGCCCGTTTAGATCAAATTTTCAATCACCAAAAATTATAACGAATCATGTTCCCTGCCCCAAAAGAGCACTAACAAAGTTTCCAGACCAAGGGCTTCCCCATATTAAAACTCCACCTCACTCAACTGTCCCCAAGACCGCAAGTCCACCAACCTTCACTCAATTAAAGTATGAGAAGAAATCCTCCACCAAAACGAGTTCCTAGTCATTCAAGTTCATAAAAGTTAAATCATAGACCAAATCAACTGCTACCTGCCGAATCAAACATGGGGCATTTCCACACCACATATCATGCACAAAATGTACATGCTTACAATCTGCTACAGTCCCACTATGTGATAGCCAATCCTTGTGCTCCAACCACCGAACTCATCATCAGAATTCTATTCCCAATCAAATCTCCACAAGATCTTCACGTCCGCAGCACAAAGGAATTGAACATCCAGTTTTCAAAGCTCCTGTTCTGCCTCAGGAGGAAAAACCTCAAACACCTAGAAAAAGAGAAGCGATGCAGTGCAATAACTTCCCCATAACGTACATTATCCAAGCACAAGGCACTATACTTTCCATACCACATTGGTGAATAAAAATAATTGCTTTGTAGCATGCCATATCCAAGAAGATACATCAAACTTTGTTGAAATTGACACCAATTATATTTTAACAGCATTATCTTAGTTCATCCTTTTTTCAGGTCAAGATTCAAAAGCATTAATAAACTCGTAACTGGAAAATAACTAAAACATCGTCAGGTTGTGGGCATAAGCCATCAAATCACAAAGCATATTCTCTAATGTCTTGAAGAAATCTGTGCATTCTATTTGAGGTGTGAAATTAAAAAACATATCAATTAGATAACCACATTTTATTTACCTGGCAATGTACGGACTAAAATTTAGCATTCTATTTTGCAAATTAGCACGGAAGCATGCTACAAAGACCAAATTCATGGTGGGTGGGGTAGTGTGTGTAGTGCCACACATAAATTAAAAGTTCAACGCATCCGTTATGCAGTATCATATAACACCACGCGTATTCCACATTTATTTCCTACACACATTTAGATACACATCCTTCCTTGAACGCAACACTAAAGTACTTTAATAGCATAAAAAGTACAGATTCCTTGCATTTACGGAATATTACTTGAAATGAAACTATTCATACGATACCAATACAGAACCTAGATAGATACATACAATTGAACTTCGACCACATTTTCGAGTTTCATTAATTACAATAAATCACTCGCCGAATAGCCCATGAAAGCAAATATAGAATGCAAACAGCATTATATTGACTCTTAACAAAACCTTAACCCTACGATCGGAGGCAATAAATTTGCGAAATTCTCTACTTTTGCCGTCTTTCTTCATAGATTAAGATGGATGGGAAATAAATACAAGGACCTAATAAGATCAACCACTCAAAACTGTTCCACATAGACGAACTAAAATCTGGTTCTAACAATAAGTGGTGACATTCAACCCCAATTACAGGCGTCAGATATTAAACCAACCCGAATTTCGCTTTCGTTTCTCTTACATCAAAACTAAACCAAATCAGTGTTAACTAAATCTAATAAATGGGGAGCAAGGGCATGTAAATGGACCCAATTTGGTCAACCCAACAGGGTAAAGCAACCTAGATCCTTGCACAATTGGGGTTTATACAAATTTCAATAATAATGGCATCAATGTTTGCAATCAATCGCACAAAATTCTATAGAACAGCTATGATATGCAGATAAGAGTAAAGCATATAAAACTAAACAAATTAAACGAAAATCAAGAACATACATATATACACATATATATATATATAAGAAATTGGGACACCAATCGCATAGACGTGCAAAGTATCGAAGGCCCATCACATGCAAGAGGAAGAACATTACCGTTTGTTGGGCGCTTTCAACTAAAGGCAAGAATGCTGCAGAGGTGCCATTGTCTGTTGTTTGTGTGCAGACAAGGACGAGGAACAGGGGTTTACGGAAACCAAACCGAAGAGTCGCAGACAGAGTGGGATATGGGTTTTATGCCTTTTAACACTTTTATTCTTTGGGTTGTCCTTGCACTGTCCATTAACCAGTTTAATTCAATAATTATAGATCGATTATTTTTTTGTTGCTGCTCAATTAGTAATGGGAATTATAAACACGCACCATTTTACTCCTCGTATGTTTGGTTAGTGTTTAGTATATTCAATTTTATATCCTTCATGTCTATCTCGTATCTCTACATGCTTAGTTCGAGACAAAAAAAATTAAATACGACATAAACAGACATTTCAGATGCGATCATCATATGACTAGGAAATTTCTTTAGGACTTTAGAATTGTATATCACATGTCTTGAAATTGTAACTTCCTCACTTTTCGTCCCTACATCTTAAGGTATTGCTTGGTCATTTCAACTTTCCCACTTCCCTTCAGCTAACATGTACTCCATTATTACTCAAAAACTAACATTTTAATTATTTTCTTTAGTTAATTAAAAAATAATTAAATTTTTAGTTTTGCATGCTAGTGGAATACACGTAACATGAGTAGACGTGCAAAGATTGAAACGAGAAGGTAAATGAGAAGGTTGCTAGCATTGTCTCTTACATATTTTTCCAAGTGAAGGTAGAAAAAAGAGAAATCATGAAGAAAACTTATCCCTCCTAATAATCACAAAAATGGTAGGATTGAGTGGAACTTCACGATGCGTCTATCTTCTACCTTCATGTCACAAAATATGTAGGTTAACATTCATATTTATATTCAACGTTCATCGGATCTAGTGGACTATTCAAATCAAGTCAATCCTAGACATCAAGCGAGCTTTTAAGTTGAATTCTCATCACGACATTCATTTCGAAACTATCATGTGAATTCAATAGCTTGACACCAACAATTTGCATCACTCAAGCTCCCACTTCTCCAACACTTCCATTACATCACATTAACTAAATCAAACCAAAATTATTTGTGAATAATGAATTAATTCATTTTATTCAATCCAATTGAATTAATTTCATTTATTTATTCAAAACAATTCAGAATAATTGAACTGTAAACTATATTTTTAAAGAAAACCTTTGATAATGTCTTAATTCAGGTTAAATCTGGTTCTTGATAAATTTCTGAAACATGAAATAAATAAATAAATAAATAAAGAGTTAGTTTCTTCTTACCACAATCTTACACTGGATGAAAACGTTACGTAGTTGAACGTCTAAATGTAAAATGTAAAGTCATAGACCGACAACATAGCATGTCAGATTTCTGAAGAGCAATCGTTCTTCTAGAAAGCCTACACCATAAGTGAGAATGACGTGAAAGGAAAAACACAAACCACAAAACCCAATTCTCAAATTCTACATTTCTACTAAGCTTATTCCAAAATTTTACTAATTCAAGTAAAAAATATAATTGTAGTGATAGTAGAAAATATAGAAGAGAGATATGTATTTTGTATAGTTTTCCAAAGTTTTCAACCGTTCCCCTTCCGAAGTCCTGAAACATCCAATTTCGGGCTGTTGCAAACCTTAGGAACGTCTTGCTTTGGTCTTACACTTGATTTTTAACCCCTGAAATCAAATTAACAATTGTTACATTAAACAGTGAAAAAACAGGAGAAAGGTGAGAAGCAGAAAGTAAAAAGAAGAAAAATTGCAAAGCAATCAAGCAAGCAAACGATCAGATTATAACATAAATGAACTCAAAAGGATTCCGCCGTACCATTTAATAAACGAGGTGAGAAACTACTGAATCTCTACGTACTCATTGTGTTGCTTGTTGGGCAAGAGGCCTATGAGGCTTTGGAGCTGAGAGAAACCAAACAATACAATCAGTTAAAGAAATGAAGAAAAAGCTCAAATACTTCAACCAAATGATGAATGTTACAAGCAACAAATATTAACAAAGGTTGTGATTATGACATCAAACTTATACTACGTACTGGTATCCTCCAATGAGTAAAGCATTTGACAAACTATAAAATGTATAAGTAACGATTAGCCTCCAGAAAATATAAATTATACCATTAGGGTTTCCTTGCTCATAAAAATTGCGAAAAAGAGAGACTGCTTCTATTGCCATTATCCCTTCAGTGCATTTGAAACCTTTCCCCTCTGGAGTTGCACCACTATTCAACATACATAATGTGAGACTGAGAGACAATCATATTGGCTACAAGACCGGAGACAGAAGCCAAGAACATTATAGTGCATTGATTATAATTTATAAAATTTGCACCGCATGGCAATAATAGACTTAACATGTAAAAATATTTGAAATAATATCACATGTAACATATTTGCAATAATAGACATAACATGTAAACATATGTGAAATAATAGAATACAGTCTCCAGAAAGATATAGCTTCCCTTGCGTTTTTTCATCATCGCTAAAGAAAAAGATACAGAAAATTTTGCACACCCTCTTCAGCATTATCTACAACTTGTTGAAAAACACGCCCACTAGACCTTGTTCTTTAAGGTAACCAACGGCAATAGACTAAACTAGCAAATCTAGAAAAACTTAGAAACACAAAAGAATTATACTGGTTCGGCAAAACTTTTGCCTACATCCAGTTAGAGAAATCACCGCTCCTTTAATTAATAATAGAGATTACAGAACTTTTGCAAACCCTAGAACTAATCTCACTCTCGGCTGTCTCTGGCTGTTTTCTCTCTAAAAATTAAGCCTTACCGCACCCTATTTATAGGCATAGGGCAGGCTTACATGTCCCAAGGTTGATTGAATTCCTATTTCGAAGTGGATTAGGAAATTACACTTATCCAAATCCAAATAGACTTCTAGAAATCCAAACCTAAATTGAATAAGGAAAACTGAAATTCTTTCCTAATCCCTCTAGGACAAGAATCGACATTCATCTAATTTTCCTAAAACAAACCCAAACCGACTAGGACATATTTGACAAGCCAAAAATCCTAACACAACTAAGGAATCACAAAAAAAAAAAAAAAAAAAAAAAAAAAACTTCCAGTTCACCTCTTACAGCCAAGTCTATGATAGGCAACATCCTCTTTCTATATGGTAGGATTGTTTGTGCTATCTAACAAGGTGAACGTATTGATTAACTCATCAAGAATCCACTAATTAGGTGCAGACATCCTACCACTAAATATGGAGGAAACAATCAACCATAAGAAAAATTTTAAGGCCTAAACTCGAACTCCTCTCATCGGCACATTCCTCCAATAAAACTCGGCATAATATTGATAACGAAAAGATATCATCAGACATTCTCAACACACCATCATTAGTGAAGAGATTTCATGTTTTGTCATATTAAATTGAAGATGGAAATTATGTGCATATATGCATAAAATGCATTTCATATATGAATCTTGTGGTGCGTGTATCTGTCCATTCACAGTAGGTAAAGATACTTATGTAGTTCCCTACAATTTTTGGACCAAGAACTGTTTCTTAGAAAGGTACATCAAAACAAGGTAACAGTTGGTAAAAGATTTCCAAGAGAAAATAATGACTAGGGAAAACACTACAAAAACTGACTCAAATTTTGCTTGTGATGTGGGTTCAGAAATAAACCTCGTTTGTGGCTCAGAGCTACTTAAGTGCAACGACAATACTAATCCACACCCACCAAATTTGTCATTGGCACAACCATAAAATACTTCCTTTATTCCTAAACATGGGAGGAAGGGTCACCTATACATTGATCCAAGTGACAAAGGGAAAGAGAAAAAAAGTGTCAACATTTATATGCAGATGATAAGAAAAGGAGCATACCAATAAATGATAAAGCCACTGCACACATTATGCATGGCTCGCATGTAACATGAGTTTACATTTTGAAAACTTTTTGGCAACTTCTAACTTTGAAAGCCTATGTTCTCTCCACTGCTCAAGAAGAGTATCAAAGGCTTCCATCTCTGCGTGCCTTGTAGCCTGCAAATTTATGACGAGCATAGTAAATAAGAAACTCATATTCCAATTTCATAAGGCTTACATATGAAACACAGTTCTCATGAACATTAAACAAAGCAAACAAGTGCCAAACACAAATCTTAAAAATTATAATAACGATATACATGTAAGAAAGACTCCCAAAGAATGTTTTATACAGTCAGTATATTTTGAAACATTTGATCCAAGAAGTTAACCATAGAGCAGTACTTTTGGGTCAAAGTAGAAGGCAGGAAAAATATAAGAATAGTAAACTAGCATGATCGAACTGAAGATCCACCCAACCACATTGAAACGGGGAACACATTGAAGATGCAAGAATAAGTACACAAACAATGAACAATCATCAAGATATTTGAGTAAATGCATTAACTGGGTTCCATCATTTCCTTGTGGTTTCAAGGAAAACAGTCTTTAAGGTATGTTTGGGTGAGGAACTTTCAAATTTCAGGGATCCAATGATGAAGAGATGGATCACAAAAAGCTAAATGAGAGAGATTACAAATGCACCACATGAGCATTACAAAAGGCACGTAAAAAGGATTTGCAAATGACTACCTGAAAGAAATCATTTAGAAATTCCTCTCACATTGCAATGCATATGTGGTGCATTTTCTACTTCTTCCTATATAACTTTTTTGTGATCCATTTCTTCTTTATCTTGCTTAAATGCCTTAGAATTTTGAGGTCCCTCACCCAAACATACCCTATGAGATACACAATTGAAATGTGAAAAATATTTTTATGAGAAAACTAGAAACATGACAAGGTGTTGGGATTTTCGCTAAATGAAAAGAATTCTCAAAAACAAATATCCAGATAAATAGGAACAATTGCTTCTTCATCTTCAGAACCAATGGTAAACTTACATTTCGTGTCTCATTAGTTCGATTTCTTCCCGAGGCTATGACCTTCCCATCTTCAACAATCACACAGTTGTTCAATCAAATTTATAGATTAGAAAAATGCATTAATACAAAATAAGCCTTGATTTTTAACAAAAGAAGCAATTGAGCGCATGTTGTATCCAACTTCAAGAAGGTGATGAGAAGAATAAAAAAATGAGATGGGCGTATGATACTTTACATTTTTTAATTCGGCTTGGGAAACTTAATAAAGCGAAAAGTTGTGTTACCCCTACATTCTTGCCCCAAATGAGCTTAAAGCCTGCTTTCAAAATTCAGAATGAGAATAATTTTTAAGTTAAGCATATATAACAAGCTAAAGGAAAATAAACCACAGCTAAATCATCTCTCTAATAGAGGTGGACCTACTTGTCTGATAGATGGTTTAGATGTGGTCTCCCTAGCATCACCCCAAGGTAAACGAATCGATTTCCAGCAATTATGTGTGTTAGGTTTTGGTTCCTTTTTTTCTTAGTCCTATTTTGTTTAGGATTGAATTAGGAAAGTTAAGGTGCATAGATTCTTGTCTTACAAGGATTAGGAGAAAACTAGTTTTCTAGTACAATTAGATTAGGAATCCTCAAAGCAGAAACAGAATAGGAATGCAAGTGTGCTTTCCTATCCTAGATAGATTAGGAGACCTAATCAGATTATAAGAATGTAAACCGCACCATGTACTTATAGATAGAGTGCGGCAAGGGTTGAAAAGCTAGCATAAAACAAAGAGACAACCAAGAGAAGAAAAGCATTAGTTCTAGGGTTTGCAAAAGTATTGTATACTCTATTATTAATCAATGAAGTCGTGGTTTCTTTACCTAGAGAAATCACAAGAAGACGTAGACAAAAGTTCGGTAGAACTAGTATAAATCTTGTGTGTTTCTAGTTATTCTTTGTTTGCTAAGTTTAGTCTATTGTCGGAAACATCACAAGATCCAAAGGAGAGTCAAAATAACAACAATTGATATCAAAAGCTTGGTTCAAAGTGTTCCTGCAATGGCCAATGGAAAGGAGACCACAAACCTAAAAAGCTTAAGGCTTAGGTTATAACATTTTGATGGCAAGGATGACTTCACTAATTGGCAAAGAATGATGAAGAGCATATTGATACAGCAGGAGTTGGATGATGCACTCCTTGGTACGACTATGACAGAAGCAACATGGACGAAGACTCTTAAGAAGGCTAAGAGTTCCATCGAGATTCATCTCACAAAATGAGTCAAGCCAACATCACTGAAACGATGACTGCTAAGGAAGCATGGAACAAGTTGGAGAAAGTTATATAGGCAAAAACCGTGTCTAATAAACTGTTTCCCAAGGATGAACTATTAGGGCTTCAACTGGAAGAATGAGTTGATGTTGAAGATCAAGTATGCAGGATCCAAAATTGCATAGCCAATCTTTGAAAGATCGAAGAAACTTACAAAGATGATGATATGACTATCATCTTGCAAAGGTATCTACCTCGTCTTACAAGCACTTTTGAACAACTTTATTGTTTGGAAAGAAGTCCCTACAACTTGAAGACGTAATTCAAGCCCCTTCAGTCATATGCAAAAGTGAATGACATAATTGAAAGCTCTCAAGGCCCTAATGCCTTAGGAAAGGAGAGGGGACGGGATGGGAAAAGACGAAGGAAAAGAAGAATAGCAATAAGGGTTGGTCAAAATCCAAGAAGAAAAAGAAAAAAAAAGAAGAAGGAAGGTTGCTTTGAATGTGGTTCTCCCGATCAATGGAAAAGGAACAACAAGATTTGGAAGGAGAAGAAAACCAAGATGGAATGAAGCTCAGGTTCAGCTAATGCAATCACCGAAGAAGAGAGTGACGAGGAGCTTCATTGTATAACATTAGGCTCCAAGGCTTTCACAAGTTAGATTTTGGATACCAGAAGCATATTTCATATGTGTGTAGTAAAAGAATGGTTTGATACCTACAAGATGGTCAACAACGGAAAAGTTTTAATGGGGGGTTGATTCGCCATGTCCTATAGGGGGATCAACATTATCACAATTAGGGTGTTTTATGGAGTGGGTATAGTACTAACGCAGGAAGACTCAAGGTGACCAAGGAGATTTGGGTTGAAAAGGTTTGCATGACAACAATGCCTCAAATTTCCTTAAAAAGAAAGTGCCGGCAAAAACAATCAAGCATTTCTTGACATCTTATTGATTGATTAAGGTGGAGCCTCCTCACTTGAGGTGCAATGAGGCAAGAAGAAGTTTGCCAAGGTGAAGGTTCTTGAAGATTTCCAGAGCTGCTAAAAGAAGGTTCAAAGATATTTTTAGAGTACTATTTTGTTTAGGACTGTATTATGAATGCTAAGGCAAATTGCACCCTAAAAGAGTTTTTGTCCTACAAGGATTACGAGAGAATTAAGTTGTCATGTGCAATTAGATTAGGAATCCTAAAAGCAGAAACGGAATAAGAATGCAAGTGTGTTTTCCTATCGCAAATAGATTAGGAGACCTAATCAGATTACAGGAGTGTAAACTGCACTCTACACTTACACATGGGATGCGACAAGGGCTGAAAAGGTAAGAGAAAAAAGAGAGGGAGCCAAAAGAAGAGAAGACTTAGTTCTAGGGTTTCCAAAAGTATTGTAGACTCTATTTGCTAAGTTCAGTCTATTGTCGGATACCTCAAAGGACAAGATCGAAAAGAGAGTCAAGATAACAACAATGTGATCAAAGGGGGAAAACAGGTGAGTACAAAGCTCAAGGGTATAAAGACTCTTAAAAGCATGACAAATAGAGTTCATGCAATTATCGGAAATCTTACCCAACAGGAACTTCGAGGTTGTCCAAGGCCTCATTTGCCTTCAAATACGAAAGCATAACCATATATAAAAGTTAAATACCATAAAGCATAGAAAAAATTAATCACCCAAAAAATAACCATAAAAGGAATAAAGTAGCGACATGCACATCAATTGAATTCAAATGATACAAAGCGTTTCCATCAACAGCAACACATATTTTTGTTAAAAGATGGGAACCAGAACAACACTAATAGGCACTGGTAAACAAAAACACCAGGTCAACCCTACTATATTATATTTAGTCCGCCGATTACTATCCAAAACTTAAAATTACAGCCTCAACAGTACCTATTCTATAGCAAGACGCATAAATTCAAGGGTATGGTCAAGGAACTCTTCTCCAAGAGATGCCATCTGTTGTAAAATGAGGAAAAGGAGACAAATCTTAAAAGCAATTTAAAAATAAACGAAATACTGTAATTACATAATCAACTTAGTTTTGGGGAAAGGAATACTCCAGAATGCATACATGAGTTTGAGAGGTTGGAGTTCTACTACGATCCAACTAAGGAAATTTCAGAAGCAAAAGTACTTCCAATTAAAGTTAAAGATTTTGGTTCCCTTTTGTATGGAATGGATTGAGCTTTTTTTTTTTTTTTTTTTTTTTGAACAATCAATATTATCTACACTAGGGGGGTGAGCTTAGCCTCATAATTATGTGGTTCAAATTCGGCTTTTGCGAGAATCGAACCTAAGATCTGTCACTTACAAATCAGATGGATACCACTAGACTGTGGTACTAAGTGAGGGCTGAGTGAGCTTTTGGTTGATCCCTAGTTCACTTGTTTGCATTTTGTCCATTTTATTTTTAATACAATTGTTTCTTTGAAACCCTAGGCGCATTGATTGTATGCAAAACTACCCTTGAAAATTCGAACACGAATATGTAAAGTCCATCGATTTTATTCCCGATGACGGCGTTGAGCTCAACAACCCCGGAACCCAGCAAAACCCCCAATTTGAATAACAAATTATGTCAATCGAAATTTAAACAATCTAACAATCAATAAAAAATTCAAGGGGAAATTGAAATTTACCAGTCGAATAAGAAATTCAAATTAAAATATAAAACAAATTTGACAGAGCAATTAAAGGAAGAAGAGTACCAGGTGGATATGGAGCTACTGTGAATGGAGTGGACTGTGGAGTTGATGAGTGTGTTGACTGCTATTGCAGGGGAAAAAGAAGAAAGGATAATAATTTGAAGGACACCAAGTGGCATCGTCTCGTTCTTTTATTAAAATGGATATCTGTCTATCCGGATTTATCCGAACCATATAATCCATGTCGTCCCTTCAAATCATGCGGTCAAAAATTTATATTTTATTATTTTATTGACGTGTTTCACGGGAAACAACGTCATAATGCGAGGTAGATTAAACTTTTTTATGGCGATTGGTGAGTCGAGCTTTACTCCTTTGCACATGAAGGGACAAAAAATAAAGTTTAAGATTTAATTAAATGTCCTTGTACTTATGAAAAAATATCTGTAGTCAGGTCCGCTTCTGACTTGAAATTGTTTTGATCAGACCATTAAAAATTGGAATTGTAGAATTTTGTATTAAAAATGGGGGAATTGAAAATTAGGAAAGACACAATTTGAAATTTTTTTCAAAAACCAGTTCATGTTTAAAAAATGAGAAAAAATTATTCTAGCGATAGAAGGGAATTTTGTTATAAAGAAACATAGGGAACATGTTACTTAGTATTACGGTCTAATGGTATTCTTTTTCACTTGAAAGTGAAAAGTCTTAGGTTCAATTCTCGTCAAAAGCGAATTTCAACCACATTATTATGGCTAGCCCTGTCACATCTCGGCCTGGGCCTCCACCACATCTTAGGCTTAACTCCACCGTAGCACGATATTGTCCGCTTTGGGCCCCGACCATGCCATCACGGTTTTGTTTATGGGAACTCACACGAGAACTTCCCACTAGGTCACCCATTATGGGAATGCTCTCGCCCGAACTCGCTTAACTTCGGAGTTTCGATGGAACCTAAAGCCACTGAGTTCCCAAAAAGCCTCGTGCTAGGTAAAGATGGGAATATATATATATAAGGCATAGAGGATCCACTCCCCTGGGCGATGTGCGATCTTATAATCCACCCCCTTAGGGGCCCGACGTCCTCGTCGGCACACTTCCGGCCAGCCCGACGTCCTCGTCGGCACACTTCTGGCCAGCCTGACATCCTCGTCGACACACTTCCAGCTAGGGATTAGCTCTGATACCAAATTGTTATATCCCCGCCCAGGCGCCCACCACATCCCGGGCTCGACTCCACTGTAGCACAATATTGTCTGCTTTAGGCCCTAACCACGCCATCACGGTTTTGTTTTTGGGAACTCACACGAGAACTTCCCAGTAGGTCACCATTCTGGGAATGCTCTCGCCCGAACTCGCTTAACTTCGGAGTTTTGATGGAATCCAAAGCCACTGAGTTCCCAAAAGACCTCGTGCTAGGTAGAGATGGGAAAATATATATATATATATATATATATATATAAGGCATAAAGGATCCACTCCCCTGGGCGATGAGCGATCTTATAATCCACCCCCCTTAGGGGTCCGACGTCCTCGTCGGCACACTTCTGGCCAGCCCGACGTCCTCGTCGACACACTTCCAGCTAAGGATTGGCTCTAATAACAAATTGTCATATCCCCGCCCAGGCGCCCACCACATCCCGGGCTCGACTCCACTGTAGCACAATATTGTCTGCTTTGGGCCACAACCACGCCCTCACGGTTTTGTTTTTGGGAACTCACACGAGAACTTCCCAGTAGGTCACCCATCCTAGGATTGCTCTCGCCCGAACTCGCTTGACTTTGGAGTTTCAATGGAACCCGAAGCCAATAAGTTCCCAAAAGGCCTCGTGCTAAATAAAGATGGGAATATACATATAAGGCATAGAGGATCCACTCCCCTGGGAGATGTGGGGTCTTACAAGCCCAGTGTGAGACTTAGCCCACTCCCCCACCCCTTAGTGTAGATATTATCATTTGTTCAAAAAAAAAAAAAACAAAACATAGGGAACATGAATTTTTATGATAAACCAAACAGTGTAGAGAGTGCACCTAGCTGTCTTGCACTATAATCCACCTCATATTGGGCCTTAAACACCTAGAGTAGAGAAAGACAATTCAAACTTTCACAATTGTTTTCAAATTGAATGAGAGGTACCACTTACGAGTTAGTTAGTAAACATATTAGGATTCACTACAAGAGGTATGTAAAACAGTTGAAATGTGAAGGTTCGAGATCTAGTTTTCCAAAACAAAGATTATACGCATATGAAAACCGAAACCATTATATACAAGAGAGCAACCCAAGTAAACTACAACAAAAATAACTCCATTATGTGCTACTTAACCTCACAACCAAACTTCTGTAATTAAACAAACAGGCAGTAGCTACATATTTTGAGACATATTAAGTCACTTGATGAGCGATGAATTGTACTACTTATTTTATCCCAAAGAACTATATTTTATCCCTAAAAACTATATTTTATAATGATAGATTTGCTTTTAATTAAGGTCATTATATGTTAGTGTATTTTTATGGCTAGATTAACACGATAGAGAAATATATCTTGCTCTAATTAGCAAACCATTGTGCATTTTGAATATTAAAAGCTAAGATAATTGTGAGTGGAATGCAGGATGGCAATTGAAACCAAAATAGTGCACGTGATTACAACAAACGAGGTTGGCCTTCCTTCACTTCATAAAATTTCATAACTTGAGGAGAAACTCCTCCTCATTTCATTGAGAAGCCAACATGACAATATTAGAAGAGAAATACCACAAACGTGAGATCTAGTTAGTAAAACTATACGGATTGATTATGAGTCATTTGTAAAAATAGTTGGAATGCAAATCTAACTTTTCAATAGAAATATGAATACGCATATAAAAACCAAAACTCTATCATCGAAGATAACAACCCAAAATAATTTCAACTAAAATAACTTGATTTATGTGCTACTTGGGCCTCCTACAACAAAATCTCTTTACCCATTAAAAAGTAACTAGTCTAGTCTTCATCTCTTTGGCTTCTTTGCTAGTGTGAGAAACATAAAAGTCAAAATAATTAACAAAACAGGAGAACTAATTACTTAATTAATTAACAAAACAAAGGGAAAAGGGTAGAAAGAGAAAGAGGGGGCCAGAAAGTGTCCTATGGCCATGATCCAAGGGGAAAATCATCATATTTCCTTTTGTCTTTGAACGTTTGTGCTAGAATGTGGCCTTCTAACAAATCTTCCCTGAAACAAAATAAAGAAACCAACATCAGTCCCTGAAACAAAAATATAGTTTCTATGATAGGGAACAAGTATAACTAAAATGAGGCTTGGTGTTGCAGATGTGAGTGTATTCATATTATTTAGAACGGAACGTGCACTCTTACAAGTTAAAATCTTTCTCCCCGAAGTTCGAATTAGATTAAAATAGAATATCTCACTTGTATCAAAATAAGTTTTTGTTATTCTGTCTGGCCGATCTAATTTGTTTCTCAATTGAACTTCTATTTGTTAATAAGATGGTGTGTACATTGATCTTTAGTTACTTGTCAAGTAAGTTTTTACTAACAAGAATGAGAGAATGGAGAGAAGGTTTGGGAGGGGAAAAAAGAGAAGAAAACATAAATACTAATCATGAGAAACATGTTGTAAAGTAAGAATCATGACATCTTTATTTTTCTTTTTCGTTTATTTTGGACTCAAATTCATTAATTCGGTGCTAAATCTACTATATTAGTGTGCTTCACCATTTGCACCCACATTCAAATCTCTTTCCACGTCGTCTAGATAAATTAGTATATATTATTATTACTTGTAGAAAAAGAAAAAAGAAAAAAAAAACAAGAATGTTTTAGAAGAAAAAATGTACCTTCATTCTAGGTCGTCGATCGGCATTGGCTTTTCTGACTTGGTATCTGATCTTTTTAGAGTAGAGACGGGTACGACGTTTCTCCTTGTAGCGCAACACGCTAGCCTCCCTCAGTCCTCCGACATCCGAGAATAAATCAATATGCGCCAACCTGGCCTGCCCAAAACAAACCCAATGATCAACAAAATAATAAGTTATAGACAAAAATACAAGGACAATTCTGTCATTCTATTGTACATTCTTGACTTCCCAATAGATTATGGCCCTAGAAAATAACCAATACCGCCTTCAATAAAATAATAAATATTTATGATTGTGTCCAAAAAGAAAAACCACAAAAAATACTTTGATTTTGACCCAAAAGATTAAAAAAAAGTAATGAATTGTAAATTAAAAATTAAATTTATGCTTTGTTTTAGACTAATAAATACTTTGGCACTTACGGCAAAGCGATCGGATTGGCAAAAATACAAGTGACTTCTCTGTCATTTGAGCTTAAAAATTGTTAAGTCAGGATTCAGAATTTCTTTTAGCAAATGCAATTATACGACTCATTACAATTACAGTATCACGTAAGATAATATTAGTCAGAAGAATAATTTAAACAACTGTTCTCCCAAAATTTTTGTAAGTGAAGTTTTAAGGATAATGAAATTGAGATATATTTTTTTTAACAACGATATCATGTACATTAAGAAAAAATAAGTGAAGTAAAAACAAATACTAAAAACGGAACGGGCAAAAAATGAACAAAAAAAAATATCAAACCAAAAATGGTAACAGAAAATAAATTAACGCCCAAAAGAAATTGCACACCGACTTTAATAGACTGACAAAAAACAGGGGAACTGATTTTTTTTTTTATATTTTATTTTTCAAGCTCCGGACTTTGAACACGTTTAAGTTTTCCCGGAATTCGATTCCCTGGCAGGAGATGAGAAACGTACAGATACATCATTCCCCGCCGCTGCATCAGATCCCGGCATTTCCTCCGAAAACGGCGACGCTTTGTCCGACCAAGCATTCAAAACGTCGTCGTAGTCCAGTTTTAGCATCAGCCCGGGCTCCTCCTCCGCCGGGGACTTCGGAATCGGATTCGCCTCCTTCGGCAATTCCGCCGCGGTTCTCGTTTCCAACACCGACAGCTTCTCCACCTTCTTCTTCTTCTTCTTCCCGGCTGTGGCCGCGGCTGGAGCCGGGGCGGAACACGACTGAGATTTGTTGAATCTGGGCGAGATTTCGAGAACATCGACGGTGGGAAAACTCCACCAGTTCCCATTATCGACGTGCCTCAACGGCTTCACTCCTCTTCTCGACCCGAACCCGAATTCGAATTTCCCGCCAAATCCGAGCCCCATTGGGTACCCATAACAGGAATTCCAGTTCGGATTTGAATTATTCATTTGCGCACCTCCATTTGTAGACTCATCCTCCAAGTCCATGTTCACACTCATACTTCCCATGATGCTATCAATCCCCTCTTCAATTTCCTCGTCGAGAATCGACTCCGCATCGAAGTCTTCCTCTTGAAAATTGTACACGTCGCACAACTCCATGGAATCGGAATTGCAATTCGGCTGGGAATCGAATTCCCCGGGACTCCGGCACGGTTTCTCGAACGAATTCAGGGACTTGGGCTCGAATTGGGAACTGGGTTTTTCCCGGATTGGGAGGTGGAGCAAGAACCCGGCATTTTCGGCTTCGATGACTCTGAAGGGCAGGAGCAATTCTGTGGATTGGTCGAAGAAAGAGTCGTGGGGTTTAGTGAATTTTCTGGGATTTGTGAAGTTCTTGGAAGAGAAGATGTTGGGGTACGCTGTGGAGAGCAATGCGGCGGCTTCGTTGTATGTTTGGTTTGGCCGTTTTCGAGGGGTACGAGGTTTTCTCGTCGATATTGCGAGGCCGGAGTTGCTGGATTCCGAGAGAGTTGAGGACGGAGAAGAGGTGGAGGTGAAGGTTGATGTGGACGGCGATTTGACTATGTCAAGCTCGAAGGCATAGGTTCTTCCGCCGCCTCTTAGACACGAAGACATCTTTTGATGATTCCGAGGAACCAAAGGCGAAGACGGAGAATTTAGAAACACAAAACTCAGGCTGTTGGATTGAAGAGCATGCACAACAGGTGAGATGAAGTCATGGAATTGTTGAAATTCAAGTTGCTAAAATCCTTGCTTTAAAAGGACAGAGAGGAACTTGAAAAGGTACAAAACCCTAAACCCTAAAAGTAGAAGAAATGGTTTTTTTTTTTTTTTTTTTTTGAAATGAAAAGTGGGAAAAGGCCAAGCAGTTTTTGTGTGATTAAAAAAGAAAGAACACCTGAGAAACGGGCTTTTTTTTTTTTCTGGAGTTGCAAAATTGGAGCAAAGGAATTAAAATTTGATGGGAAAAATGTTGAAAGTTGTTTCAGAAAAACCCAAGAAACGAAACCCCAAAAAGTTCATAGTATGTTTCTATTTTCCCTTGATAAAGAAGTGTCCCAAAACCCTAGAGAGAGAAGAAAACCCAAGTGACTAATCTATCAAGGGAAATAGTAACTGGGTCTTGGCAGATGGAGAAAAGGAATGGAAATATCCCAGAGAGGATAGTTACCCAATAAAGAAAATCGAATACTGTATATGCTGTGGAAATTCAGCACCAAAAACAGAAAGATTGAGGGGAGAGAGAGAAGAGGTGGAGTTTTTGGAGAGTAGGTGACGAGGCGGACCAAATAAAAAGAAGTAAAGAACCGTTGGGAGGCCTGTAAATATAGCACAAGCATATGAAGAGACAGATTCTATGTCGCTCTCTCCTCTTCTCTCTCTCTCTCTCTCTAAAGAGTAAAGAGGCCAGAGGGGCACTGTGAGACGGGGAAGTGCCCATGTATGAGTGATGGAGATGAGACACAGGAAGAGACAATGCTCAGCTTCAGCAGTTCTGCCTGTGGGACCCTTTTTCTTTTTTTCTGCCTTTTTTCCTTCTAATTTTCTCGCGACCTTTTTACCGTTTCAATCATTTTATCTTGAGTGCATTTTGCTCGCAACCATAATTAGAGTGTACGTTCATTATATTTCTAATCTAATTATTTATTATGTGTTATTTATTTAACTTTACTTAAATTTTATATTAAATGTTACTTTTTAAATTATGAAAAAAGTTAACCAATGTTAAGTAAAACAACAATCGAAAAATGATTAGGTGCATGGTAAACATACATCAAAGTTTAAGATGGTGAGAAAAAATGTTCCCTTTTATCTTGCTAATGTCACATCAATTAAATTCATGCTTCTTTTATTTTCTAGAAGATAAAATACAATTTGTTTTGATTTTATCATAACTTTTTTATTTCGATAACTAAATAAATTCATAGATGAAACTTAATTTCTTCTGACCTTAACTTTGTTCAAGTGGTTTGGGTAAAACAAAATGCGTTGTTCAAATGGTTACAGATGAAATACCTTGGGGATCTCTCGAGTCTTGGATTTATAGCTAAGGATGTCTAGGATTGGATGTCTCAGTCTCTCAAGGTATACGATTTTGTATATTCCTCATAGTTGTAACGGAGTAGCTCACTGTTTATCTAAGTCCAATTTACATAGTGATGACTCAAAAGTATGGTTCGAGGAACCCTCAGATTTCATTAGGGCTGTATTCATCCATAATTTGGCCTCTTAAGGGTTAATTTCAATAAAGATATCGTTTTACCTAAAGAAAACAAAAATTATGTAACATTTATTATTTTAGTTAGTTTTTGGGGGAAAAAAAATTGCTTAATTCTAATAATGCATAATTACAATTTGTATTTATGATTGTTTTTTTTTTCTTCTTTTGTTTCTACGGCTTGGTAGGAATTCCTTTAATTCAAATGAGAAAACATAAGAATTGAATTTATTTGGAGTCTTCCCACTCAACTTGTGTTTATATGAGATGGATCACATGCAACCACAGCTTTATTTTTTGATTAAAAGTTTGCCCAATTATCACAATTTCTATACATGATTAAATAATAATAATAGAAGCAACAACAACCCAATCATTGAACAACTTAAAAAGATTTTCTGAAGCTGATTAAAACAAAACAAAAAAAAAAAGCACCCACAAACACCAAATCTAATATTCATAAAAGAAAGTTCGATAACAAATTTGTTTTCATTTTTCAGTCTTCAATTATATAGAAAGCAGAGTAAGGAAAACTAATAAAAATAATTTGAAAACTTTGAGTTTTAACGATAAAGATAAAATAAAGAGTAAAGTGAATAGTACCAAAATTGATTTTTTAGTATAAAAATGTGGTTTTTTGTTAAAGTGAACAATATCAGTTTTCGTTAAAGTTCCCTACATTATAGCAATGGTCATTCAACTAAAAATCTATTACCATTGGTCCCTCACCTCATCAAAACGTGTAGCCATATTCCCTTTCGTCAACTCTGTCAGAATTCTGTTAAAATGAATTATGTTGGAATGACCATTGCTCCAACTGAGTTAAAGTTGAGAGACCATTAATTTCTCCAATTGGATTAAAGTTGAGGGACCATTGATGTAATTTTTTTCTTATTTGATTTTTCATATTTGTCTCTTAATTCAACCTCATGTGCATGGCACGTGACTTATTTTGACAAAATTTCTAACAAAATTGACGAAAATGATCATAGTTGCACGTTTTGATGAGTTGAGGGACCAATGACAATTGATTTTTAGTTGAGAGACTATTGCTTCAATTTAGTTAAAGTTGAGGGACTATTGCTACAATTTACTCTAGAAAGAAAGTAGATGGAATGATGGGTGAATCAAAAACGTGAAGAAAGAAGGATAAATGTACATGAAATGAACATACAAAAGTGAAAACAAAAAACTAGAAATTGTTTTCATTTTTTTGTTTTTGATTTTCATGTAGTATACGATACCAATTGCATTTGTTCTATATCCTCCCATCATCCTTCCTCTATCCTTATTCATCCTCATTTCTTCCTCGTATTTCCTTTTAATTGTAACAAACGTAAAACCTAACGAAATAGTTATTAAAGTGGTCCGTAATGTCTCATTGTGTTATGATTGTAACCTATAGAGAAAAACATTAGCTAAAGGCATGGAACAAAATTGTTCTGATGAAGTATGTGTAAGTATAACTCAAGGAGAATGATATGATAAACACACTTCTTCTTTTTTTTTCTTTTTTTTGTACACACTTTTATTTAATTATGTATGTTGTTTTCATTTAATTTAATAAAAAATAAATAAATTGAAAAGCATATGAGAGGTTGAAAATATAAATTAGCTCTCTAACTCAACTAGCATTAAATGAGTGAGATCATGGTCAAGATTCTAAGCTCACATTATTTATGCAAACAAATAATAAAAGTTGCATTGATGGATATCACTTAGTACTACGGTCTAGTGGTATTCTTTTTTGTAAGTAAGAAGTTTTAGGTTTGATTATTCTCAAAGATGAATTTGAATCATATTATTATGACTAACCAATTCTAAGATTAGCCCAAATATTCTCAATCTCATCAAATCTAACCACGGGACAAGCGTGGATGTCTTGTTTGGATGATTCTTTGTATGCCACCCATACCACCTGCAAAGTGACTTGAGATTTTATGGAAAAACTCTTTTCTTATCTGGTGACGTGTCGATTTCCGATTGGGCATTCGAGATTTTATAGGGCTGACTGGAATGCATTTTTTTGGGTTTGGATGATATTCACGTGTATCAAGAAATAAGGTGGGTTTTTGGATCTCTGGCAATGATTTGAAGGTCCTTTTTGTTGTTTGGTGTCCTCTGTCAATTTTAATGTGCGGTCGATGGGAATCATACGTTGAGCTTATTAGGTTCAAAAACTTGAAGATTACAATATCAAATCGTTATGGCTTTTGCACACCCTTCCGGCCCCCATCCCATTATCCCTGTATTCCACTTATAATTAACCAAAATCACACAAAATTTGCACCATAGAACAAGATTGATAATTACCTCTAGTCTCCCTCAATCAGCCAATACACTCGAGGCGTGTCAAGGGCAGTTTGTAACGAGTGAAACAAAACTGATAGCGAGATCGCATTCGTATTTGTGTACCCTTTTAGGACGTGTCTTTATTTAGCAGTTTCATTTTTTAGACACTATACACGAGATTATAAGTGATAGCCATATCGCATTTGCATTTGTGTACTTTTTTAGTGATGTTATTTGTGAGTCTTTCTTTGTGACGAGTATTTTACTTTGTTGGAATTTGCATATTTGCTGATGTGTTGCGCACAAAATTCATGTTGGTATGGACACTAGTTGGTTCTTTGTCAGTTCCTCTTCGAAATCGGCGCTGCTCATTGTCAAAGAGTGTACCCATATTTCTTTTACCTATTGTAAAGAAACTATTTTTTATTTCAGGCTGGTAAAATATATATCTAGATTGGTATTCTTTAAAGTAATTTATTAAAAATACAAAGATAAATTTATATGACAAAATAACAAATAATACGATCAGGTTGGACCATATAACCAAAATTATAGATTCAAAGAATAAACATTCTTGTAGCATATAAGAATTCTACTTATAAACAAAATTAATTATGAAATAAAGATATGAATTTGTGAAAGGAAAAAACAACTAATGTAGAATAGAACCGTAGAATTTTGGTTTATGAACTTACAGTGCACGACCTGGTGACCTAAAAGCCAAATACTCAAATATAAAAAACCTATAAATCATGGAACGGGGCAGCAATAATTGATCACAAATTTACAAACATATAATATTTCATTACTTACAGACAAGTTCTTCATTCAGCAACAGTAATGATTAGGAAGTCAAATCAATTAAAAAAAATCAACTAACGCTATAACTTGTATCTTTATTTGTAAATTGTCAATTTTTTTTCTTCTTCCAAAGGTAGAATTTATTAAAATCATAATTGAATAAAAATGTTTACATTCTCAGTTAATATATTAAACAAAAACTCAGGTTCTAAATAATTCCACAAGAAGGAACCAACGAGGCTAGCAACATGCGCTGTGACAGCCCGTCCCAAAATTCATGTTAACGTACGTGTGAAATTACAACTTTGCCCCTAATTCG